GGGGGAGGGAGGGATATTGATTAAGATTCGGTATGCTAGGTATATTTGAGCATAACCACTTATTTGACTAGACATGTCTCACCAAAAGAGTCCCTCGGACCATGAGAGAGTTGGCTTCTCTGACACTGTTGCACGAGAGGCACTCCTCTTCAAGACACAATTGATGATGTTCTTGATTACTGCACCTCTTTTCTGGTAGTTGGATGGAATTTGCTGTTTCACCTAAGTGATACAAAAAATAGAACTCATGATCGAACATACGTCAAAAGTAATACTCCATAATTTTTTGTCTTTTGGTTCTGTCCACGAAATAGAGGGATATTTATAACGGTTTGGAGTTACTTCTACCTGGGGTCCAGATAGCCAAAAAGTATGAGCAAGGATCATCTGGTTCTCTTCTATCCAACTTCAACTGTATTATGAGAAATGCCACATGGTTATAATTCTCCTCATTCCCCATAAAAGAAAGTAAAAATATTCTTTCTTTAGATGTAAGAATCACGAACCTTTTCAAGAAGAGGGTGATTATCTGGAAGTTCATAGCTGCAGACGGTGAAAAAAAAAATTAGTACGCAAATGAAAAATATTCGTTTGGAATGTGATACCTATACCCGTTGACTTTGGACATCCACTGGCCAAACAAATTATCATCTATCTTTTACTGCTTTCAATTTATTCCCTATTGATAGCACCATCTATTTGGGAATTCGAAAGATCTTGATAAATGCAGCAAATGTTTTGCTTACACTAGGTGTTCTGTTCGCAGCCGGCTGACATTCTTAAGTTTAGGCATGGGAATTGATGCGGCTTCTGGGGTTAGTGCAATTAAGGCTTTTGACATGTCACCTTCTTGAGGTTCCATATTCTTTTGAACGTAGTTCTGTAAATTCTGTGAGAACTCCTCAATGTTAAGTTTTATTGTAGGAATTTCATTAGGATCTTCATAGAAAGCATCCTCAATATCGATGATTGCATCTTTTGTGGTGCTTTCTTGCTCTGGTGTTGCTGGTTCTTCAATAATGGGCACACACATCCCAATTGTAGTCTTCCCGTCAGATTGATGCCTTTCTGATGGCTTGATCTCTTCAGATGGTATTGTTGAGGGAGGGAGGGACAGCATTGGTTGGTCAATTGTTCTGGCCTGGTTATCTTCAGGTTCTCTGCATTCAGTAGTGCTAACTATTCTTTTATCTTCTGGTGCTGGAAGGCCAAGCCTTGCACTGGATATGTAAGAAGTATGTCTATTAGTTACCCACTTATCCATAATTAAAGATTTCCGTACTTTATGAGAATTGCTGCAAGAATTAAGTTTTAAAGTAGGGTCCCTGCCCAACATGTGATTCTGTGATATTCTGGAAGAATTAAAACTCAAAAAGTTGTTATTAGCTGAGGCCTAAATTGTGTTGCTTATGTGCACATGCTCTCTGTCTCTATAAAAGGGAGGAAATAAAGAAAGAGAGAGGGAAAGAAAGACTGCATGGACGTCTAGGAGAAAGATGGCCAAACCTTGCAAATGCGCTTGCGAAGTGCCTACATTCTCCTCTCATTGGACAAGCATTACAATTTGGTTTGCTTTTTGTACAAAAGACCTGCACCATACATTCCTGTCAAGATCGTTCATAAGTTGGCTTATGTTAGAACCAAAATTTCCAAGTGAAATTACCTTTCCAAACGTAATCATTTGGTAGTGCAGCTCATACCTGCATCCAGATTTATAGCAAGTCGTAGGCATTTAGTTTGAATTCTCTTAATTTCCCCAACTAAATGATAAAAAAGAAAGACTGCATCCATTTCTAGGTTTATAACTTGAAAACATGCTTACAGTGTTCTTTGGTCAAGCTTGCAAAGCCGAGGCCATAGATACTTCTGGATTGACTCTAGCACTGGGTACCTGGGAGGAGCAGCAAGAAAAGTTTCAAAGATTGATTTTACTATTCCGTGGAAATGACGTGCGTTCTGTAGAGGTCTGCATTCTTCAACTTGTAATATTACGAGTTTTACATTTTTTGTATTATTTATTTGGAATAGAAGTCATAATTAAAACCTCCTTAAAATTTTGTTCATTTCTTTTTTAAAAAAAAAACTGATATTATCAACTGAACTAAAGTAAAAAATAACATTTATTTTCATTTTATACTATTAAAAAACTTGCAAAGATATTGTCCTAGAGTCTATATCATCATGTTTTTCATATGCGAATCAATGATAAGCTATGTTTATATGACTGTGATACAGTTTGAAACAACTTCTAGCATTAATGAATAGAAACACAATAATTTAGGAGAGAGAGAATATTTACTTAAAATTGTAAACCTTTAATAATGGAAAATGGATTTCAGAATATTTTTCTCGACATATCTTTTATATGGTAAAGATGTATGGATTTTGCCAAAATGTAGGCTTGTCATACTCACAATTCTAGAAGATGCAACTGTAGGGATTCTGGTAGCGGTTGAAGGGGTACCCATCCCAGTCGGACAGCTATACGTCCAACATTTGTGTCAACCTGTTAAAGGTACAAGTGAAAATCATATATATGTTTTATTTGATTTCATATCATTAACTCAATTTGGCTTACTGGGAAGGCAAGATGATGAAGAGTAAGAAGTCGCACACACTCCACACTTTTTAGTCCCAAACCTCTTATACTTAGTAGATATTCTCTGCATATTTTACATTTGCGTGTTAAACCCATTGTATGAATCATACAATTCTGATGGATGCAACATATTCTCTAGTGCAGAAGGTAACATTCTCAGTATTCTTCAATTTTGATTTCAAGAATTTGACATTTAAGTTCTCGATTAATCTTACTTTGCTTGGTCTGGTGCAACATCCCTTAACCATTCGAGATCAATGCTCCCATGATCTTTCACCAGACGGTTTAGAAAATCCTGTACAAATTACTCATCCAATACTCAGCTAGTGATACGGATTAATTAGAAATTTAGATCATGTTGTTTGAAATCAACATTATAATGATACCTTGATTCTTTCAGCAAGCATGTTGTTCATGCCGCGTTCTCTGATGGCGTGTGCAATCTCCTTCACATCAGCACATCTTACTGCTTCCCAATCCAACGAGTCCATTGTATTTTCACTTCTCTGTCGTGTCTTTCCGTTGGTTTCTACCTGTTTTCTTAAGTTGTCCCAATTAATGTTACCTTCCTTTTCCTTTGCAACTTGTTTTCTCTGAGATCTTGAAGTGGTAGGTTTCATCTCTTCAAACCCATTACTAAGTGAATGATCATACTCCTTTGGATTTGACTGTGTCACTATTCCTGTACCATTTGGTGAAAATTTTGGAAGAATTTCATGCACATTATTTGTACATTCTACTGGCGACTCAGCATTTTGTGCGTCTTCAACCACACTGCCTTGAGGTTGTAAGGTCAAACCTGGCTCCTTTGCATTGATGCTTAATTCACTACTAGGTAATGGTGCTTCATGGATATCTACTATGAGCTCTATTTCAACATTAGCATGATTGCGAGATTCTGCAGTCAGTGTACTTTTTTCAGAATGAAAATCTACGTCCTTGTGGTAAACATTAGGAGTTTGAACTCCACTGCACGTCTGATGGCAGTCAACTTCCAATGATTCCGAGGTGTGGTTTTGCTGCATTTGATAGCCATTCAAATGATTAACAGAATCTTTCATGGCTTTTTCATGATCATCCGGTTGTGAAGTGTCATCTATTCCATTGTCACACTTTTTTCCTGCTAGGTTGATGTTCGTGTGAACCTCTGTCTGTTCAATGGAAGTATCGATAGTAACATGATCATTCAGAGTATTTAGTCCAGCCATCTGATTAAGCTTCTCCGATGAAGAATTGATGTGAACCTCTTTCAACCAGCTTGGTAGATCTTCTGAGTTGCCTTCTGAGGATGGTTCGATGTTCTCACTGGTTTGAGAAATTGATGAATCCAAACAGTCTTGAAATGAAAATGAATCATATATTTCTCTGGCTCCGGAGAGACATGCTTGCATTGGGCCGGTTCCACTCAATGATATTTCTCTCTCAGAATTGCTACATGTCCCAACAATGTTATGAGATGAACTAAAACTTTTTTTTTCTGGTTCCTTGTTTGAGCTACCATCCTCGACATTACTTCTGGAAGATTCATTGCTGTCAACAATTATTTTCCCTTCACTATTTTCGATTTCATTTTTCATCAAGGAACCCTCTTCACTTATTTGTTGCTGCATTATCTGTTTGTTCAATTTCATGTCATCCTCTAAACTCAACATGTATGCTTCGGGTTCATCCAACTTTATAATAGGATGTTGATAGCATGATGCTTGTTGACAATTTGGCTTAGGAGGAAAGCGTGCAGCAAGAGACATGAAGGCAGAGCTGCCAACCTCAGAAGAAGTTAGTAAAAGGAGAAGAGATAGAGATTACTTTGAATTGCACTTAGCTCACACCATTTGACAATTTAGCTTACCTAGAAAGGTGATCTGAGACATTTTGAGTCAGGAATACTCCTACCACAGAGTCCACAACTGATCCCTTCCATTGAGAGAAACGCCTATCTCCTGAAGAAATGCAATCATGTTATTGTTCAGCCCGACAGCATAGTTGCTACAGTAAGATTGCGTGCTAGGCCTAGACTAATCCTTCATGCATTTCGCTGGAACATATGGCTGGCACAAGTACATATATAAACAAAAGCATAGAACTTCTAAGCGTACAAACTTGGTTTTCTTTTCGATCCCTGCTCCAAGAAGGATTTACATGAAGGTATGTAAGAAGCACGACACTGCTAAGCCTAGGAACCTGAAGGTATGTCAAAGTTGTTATTTCTCTATAACCTTCCCCTTTCTCTCTCTCTTGTCTTGCCTGGATTGATTTTTCTGAATTAATGTCATACTCAATCAATATGAAAACAATTGTCTATGAACTTATACAAATGCGAAGCCAATTCATCATTGAACTTTGATATTCATTTGATGTCTACATGGAGTTCTAGAAGTAACTCTTTGCTAGTGGTTGGTTTAGAGTTGAATAATTAATATTGTACCTTGAACAAGATGCATCCTTGCGATAAATGATTCTGCTCGCCCTCGAAACACCTTTCGCTCTTCTTCCCACCATTTGATCTTTTCTTCATCTGTTCCATCAATGCCTTCGCTGTTTATATTTCCCATCAGAAGCTTCCATACTCTACTAGTCTCTTCATCAAGCTCGACTTTAGGACGAGGATAACGTTTCTTAGTAAGATTAAATGGTACAATAGTTCCCTTTCTTCCATAAACAACAATGGCATTGTGCTCCTGATTTTGCATGTTGTAGGGTACAAGTGCTCGCTCTCTACATTCCAAATTGTTGCTCTCCTTGTTGATATCAAGATGCTTTAATTGTTCAACTATGGCATCGATAAAGCACATTTGATTACCATGTTCTGAAGCAGTGCCTGTAAAGATAAAGGAAAGGGACAAAAGAAAAGAAATTTTCTTTTAAATGGGTGAATATCTTGATCATTGGGAAAAATTTCTAATCCCGGTACCTAATGTTTTGGGGAAGAATTGGTAGGGATTGAAGGATACAAATCTGCGGTCCTGAAGATCTTTATTCATATTGTGAAGTGCTGAAATTGTAGGAGAATTCTTCTTGGTTCTTTTCTTCTTTGCCACTGTTGCTTCCATCGTCTCGGATAGTGCATGTATGCATGTTTGAAATGTATTGATATTTTTTACAGAACTGTCCACGAGAGGTTGATTAGTAGGATATATTGGCTGCTTCTCACAATCGACAATTCTTGCCGGTAATGCCAAGTCACGAAGTCGTTTGGTTGACCTGGGTCTCCTTTTTGTTCTCTCAGTCTGGCCTAAAGCCATGATACTTCCATATGTTTGCAACTTATCCTGAAGGTTCTGTCTTCCATGCACAGCTGCAATTTTACTTTTACAAGTACTAAACTGAGGTCCAGCTATCCAGCTATTGGATACTAATGTCATGTGATTTCTCTGGGAATCATTGAAAGAGCATGCACTTTCTGGACTCATGAAATGTGTGGCACTTGCACTAGTAAATGCAGTAGAGGAGACAGGGTTCTGCCTCTTCTCTGTTCTTTTTTTCTTGTAAATGGTGGGAAAATGCATCCAGGATACCGACTGATATGCAGATAATGTATTATAATGGACCCCTGTTAAATTTATGCTTCCAGCACCTGCTTGATCAATGGCCTGAGAACGTTTTCTCAGGCCACAAGAGGCTTGCTCGCTTGCAGTGAAAGCAGAGTTCTTGCAAAAGATAAGACCATTGGAACCTCCTGGTAAGGATCGATTATTATCATTCAGCATGGTTTCTACCGTGTTTCCCTTTTCAAAACTGGAAATTACTTTACCATTTTGTTCAGTATTGTTCTCCATTTGGTTGTTTGAAAGCAGTCTTCTCTCAGGAGAATTATGTTCAACCGAAATTCCAGCTGATTGGACTTGTTTTTCTGGCAAAGATTCGTAGCTTTTCAGCATTTGATTCATGGACCAGTTTGGATCAGTGGAAGAGCCTACTTCTTCAAGCCTCACTCCCATTTGTCCTGTAGTTGATTGCATGTTTTGTGGGAGTGGATCTTTTTCCAGTTGCCTTGAATCGAAGGATAAATCTCTTGTTTGGGCCTGAGAATCAAAGTTTATGGCCCTTCTGCACGACTTCCTTCTATGCTTGAGCATTTCTTGGTTTGATGTTTCACCTATTATTTCTATTGGGGGAGTTGCTGAAGGCTTACTGGGTCCACTTTTCCTGACACGCTTTCTCGTACTTGGACAATGGGACTTCAAGTTAGGATTTTTTCTTTTATTTTTTACTTCGATGATGACCTTAGGTCTGTGTTTTCTCCTTTTCTGTCTTGGTGGTGGTGTCTTATTCAGGCTATCTGCATTCTTGCGTTCCTTTCCATCTGGGGTACAGGTAGCAGTAATTGTAGGTTGCATTGCAGGCTCAAGTTCTTTATTTTCTCCCAGGTTCTCACCATCAATTGTTATTGAAGTATTACAGTTGTGGCTCTGTTCTCTCTCATCTCTGCTGTTCTCAGTTGGTATCTGCTGTATTTCAGCCTCACTTTCGGTATATTTACTCTTGCCCATATCTGGTGTCGGTGGTGCAAATTGGGAGGTAATTCTGATAGCAGCTGCATCTGACTCTGTCCCAGACGGAAAATTGAGGTCATAAGCATGCTGGCTATGGTCAGACATTTCATCTGTAAATTTGCAGTACTCAATTTCAGAACACTGGATGTCAACAACGATGAATTTATAGAGATTCGTCATGTTGTTCATAATTACGTTCTTTTCCACATAGCGTAAGTAGAAGGGATATGGTCTTAAACTAGTTGAAGCATGTAGCAGCAGCCAAAAAAATAATTGCAGAACTTCACAGGAAACAGACATGTGCAATAGAAAATGCATATCCGAATTAACAAATATAGGTGAAAGTATACTCATCATGAATTCTCTATTTTCATTCAGTTTCCTCCTACCAATTTTCTTAGATTGCTTCAATTTCCCCAAATATTAACTTCTAATACCATAGCGCTGCTTTTAAGTTCGTCAGCTTCTTTTTAATGTTTGTACTAAATGTTATTCAAGCATCATAACTATACCATATTTAAGATTCCCAAGTGTAAATGACTTTATTTAAATTAGCTGGACTTACACCCTGTGACTTCAGGTATGCAGCCTCCACTGAGACGACCCCTCATAGAGCTGGACTCCAATTCAACTTGATAGCTAGAGCCAGAATCGAACAGGTCGCTTGCATTTCCACCCAATGCAGCATCGGCTCCCACGATAGAAGCCGCATCTGCTAGTGCCATTAGCTGCAAAAAAGGAATGCTCCCTAATGCATCAATAGAATGTATCGCCACTGTTCCATTATCTTTGCAGGCCACTTGAAATTGCCCAGCCTGAGCTGCTTCCCAGTCGTTAGTACCATTAGCTCCACCGTAACATGCAACTCCACTGGTGGTCTCAGCTTCCTTGTTAGAATTTGAGGAGAGTCTCTCTGATCCCAACCAGCATGGTCCTGACTGATTCCAGTCCATCCTTGCATAGATCAGCGGCTGCAGCGGCGGTTTTGGTAGAATGGGCTTCACGGGTGTCGCCGGAACCCAAGAACCGCCTTGAACGTGGACCTTATTTCCCTCAGGTTGGCTGGAATCCATTTGATTGGTTTTCACTCAAGCAGAAGAACCAATTTTGCCAAAGCTTGTTCCAGAAAGCATGGCCTCTCTTTTCCCGGCAAAGGTATGCCTTCTTTTCTTAATTTTAATTCTCTGTTCACGGTGAGAAAACGAGGCAAGTTTAGAAATTTCATGGTCTATCTTAGCACTGAGAAAGCCAAAAAAACCAGTTTTATGTTTCAGCTCAAGCAGATCGTAGCTGAAAAATAGTACAAAATTATACAACGATTAAGAGCCTATCTGAATTAAAAAGATCTCCCTCGTAAAACCCTTCTGCTCTTTCATGGCAACATAAAGGAGCTTTCAAAAATGGGGGAAAGAAGATGAAATAGAGAGAGAAAAAGAAGAGTGAGAAGTTCAGTCCAAAGCTTCAACGATCATCGGGAATGGCAGGGGAAGACGAAAAAAACCCCTAACAAGCCACAATATTTCCCCTTCCATTCCCCTCCATTACTAAATTAATTAAGCTGAAAAATTAGCATACTTTCAGGGGAATAGTTACCGGAGGACTGAGTCAATGTAGCGAGATCTGAGTTACTACTCACCGGAAGGCCAACAAATCTTTATCTTCCTTCAGCCCTTCACTCTCTTTATCTCTGCAAACGATTTGCAAGGGAAAGCCAAACACAAAGATAGAGGGTTTTGTATATTTGCAGAGCTCCTTGATCAGTTGATTTCTTAATTTCTTCTCGGCCATTCTCTCTTTTTATGCTATATCTGAGTATCGTATCAAGAGCTGTACATAGTTTCTTATTCTCCACGAAGGTATATAGATATATCATGCATGGTAATAAATTGCCTTCTTACAATTTTGATATTAAATTTTTTTATTCATTTCTAATTTTCATTGACTTTATTATATAATATAAATTCTTTTTGTTGCAATATAAAGCGTAGGTATATCTTGGATGACTAACTTATTTTATTTTAATTTTTTGTTTATATATATTTTATTGGTGCAGGATAATTGAAGCTGTGGAGTGAGATAGAAGCAACGACCGAGGAGCAAAACTGGAAATAATGGTGTAATTAACTCCCACAGCCCGTTAAGAATCGAGCCTGGGAACTAGCACATGAGCTAACGGAAAATCAAGAGAATGACGTGGCAACGTCGTCTTGATGTTTGGTACTTTTTGGAGGGTTAAAAATTCGATGATGGGGTCTCCTGCTTTAACGGCAAAAGTACGATGTTAGGGCTTTGGCGTTAACATCGAGAAAGTGGTTTTGGTTCTCTCTTATCCATTCAATCGCAAAATTTCACGACGTGAAGGAACCGTCACTGACGTCGTTACTAGTCCCCGTTTCTAGAGTAGCAATCTAGTGCGGGCACGCTCTTCAATTGGTAGTTGGTTGGTGGATGCGGTGGATTGCGATCGTCATCAACAAGCGGCGGTATGACGTGGTACGTATATGATTAAATAATATGCAATATCATTGATTATTTAAAAACAAAAGGTTTATTTTGGCACAGAAAAGGGAGCCTTTAAAGCAAAAAGTAATTTACTTCCATCACAATGTTTTTAAAACATAATTACAGTCATTCTAATAGACAAAGATTTAAGTTAAATATATTCCACGGTACCCAAATTTTAAGGCACTTATTTTAGTGCATTTAGAGGTGGATATTTTATTTCATTTGGTTGGAAATTTGATACTTTAATTTATTTCAAAATTTTAAAAGAAATGTACCATGCATCTCTATTTTTATTTTTATTTTTATAGATTTGAGTTAAAATTCTGTCTATTTAACTTCTAAAATTTAAAATGATAACTTAGAGTGATTTTTCTTAATAGCTACATTCACACCATTATCACATCCACTTTGTTTTTAAAAATAAACTAGATTTTAACTTTATAAATTATTTAGAATTATTCTTAAAATCTTAATGGCTAGACTCATTTTAAAATTTAGTGACAAAATAGAATTTTAATTCAACCCTAAAAAACTAATTATATTAATTCAAGAATTAAATTTATAATCTAATATTTAAATTTTATTAAATTAATTAGAGTTTGTAAAGTGTACTAAGTTGGAAAGTACAAATATTTTAGCCAAAATATAATGAATAAACTAAAATATTAATATTGTTTTAAACTTTGGGTGGGGGTTTAATTAAGGGTAACATTAACATGGTTAATACGGCCACCTGGCCGAACAAAACAAACCAGTTTCATCATCAAACGCTGCCATTCCGTAAATAATTACCTCCGTTAAGTCTTCTCCCTTTTCTAATTCGTCTTGTTTTGAAGGTTGGATAACTTCACCCTGTGAGTCACCGGAAACTGTGCTTTTTTCTTTTTATATAAGACCGACACGTGTAATGAATTAACAAAAGGGGCTGCGATGGCCGCCTTTTATTTCTCGAACCTCATTGGACCCTTTGTCTTATCTAACAAACTTCAAAAGTGTTCTATGTAATTTAATCACATTTATTACAGGTACCATTTACTTTTTTTAGTTTTTTTTTTCCTTTCTATTTTTCTAGTTTCAATTAAAATCATAAACTAATAATTTTTTCACATTTGAATCATAAATTTTTATAAATTATTCAGTTTAAATAGTTTATAATTGTTTTCTCTTAATTTCATTTATACTAAACTTATAACTACCTAAATTTTATTCTTCTTCCAAAATCATACTCAGCAAGTAAATTTAGGGTGTATTTATTCTCGAATAAGTAGAGTAAAATAAAAGGAAATGTCAATTAAAGAAAATTAACTACTATTTATTTTATTTCAATTTTTTTAATCTAATATACGTCAGTTCTTATATTTAAATAAGTTTTATATACCTGCACATCGATATAATATTTAAATAAGAGTTTTAGGCTTTTAATTAATGTAGTTATTAGTTGTGAATATGGATAAGATGAGACACAGAAAACTGTCCAACAAACAATAATATCTTCTGCGACCAAATGGATTTGTGGGACCCACCAACTACCTTATAAAATGGTTAACGATTTTTCTCATTTTTTAGTCCGAAAAAGTCAAGTTAACAGTCGATCACAACTCAATTGATAAAATAATTTTTAATCTTTTTTTAAAATTGATAAAAGTTGTATTTTAATTTTTTATAATTATATGTAGATTTTTTGGAGTAGAAAACTAGATGAGTAGTATTCTCTCAATAATTTTCGAAATTTAAAAAAAGAAATGTGAAGATTAAAATAGTTTATTGTTTAAAGATTAAAAAAAGTTTAGACTAATCTAAAATTTCGAGTTAGTTAAGTTAGTGATATGAAAAATCATAATAGAATTTACAATTGAGTTATCTGATCATATTTGTAATTATTTAAAAAAAACTTACTTTCTCTACAAATACATGATACATTGCTATTAAAATCTCATAAAATTTAAATATCAAATATTTATAAAGTATAGTGCATCAGTAACCTTAGTTATAAACGTTAAATATTCTTAAATTTTTTAAGGGTATGATTAGATTGTAACCTATTTTCAAATTTTCAATTTTAAATACAAGGTTACCAAATAAAATATATGAAATAGACAATAAAATATTTTTATTTATAGAGATGGACTCGTGGGAGTTGAGCTAACTAAACATTGTTACATCTATTTTTATTTCTAATAATATTTTATTTGTTCAATAGTGTCCAATGAATTTTCTATAAAAATAATAATAAATAAATAAAAAGGAAAGAAAAATGATGGATGGAAACATTTCAACCAAAGAATCAACTCAACCTTTTACTTTTTCGGAGGCAGAAAATCTATAATTATAAATTCCTTAAAATCTAATTCATAATAATTATGATTTAATTATACTTTTTTTTTAAGCCTTTGAATTCAAACTATATTATAGTCTCTAATATAAGGTTAATCTAGTTGATTTAAATTATTGAATTTCGTATAAAAAGTTTTTATTTTCGTATTACATTTAATAAAAAGAAAATTTGTATAGCATTAGCTTGTCTTAACTGGTACTGAGTTTGATACTGAATTAAAAAATGGATATCCAAATACTTATGTCAAATACAATACAAAAATTGACCAATATATCTAAAAGTTTAAGAATCAATCTGTTAAAAAAAAAATGGATAACATAAAAACTCAACCCCTAATCATGCTATTATAAACTAATAGCCATTACTAATAGTTTATAATAGCCATTACTAATGTATGATTTTTTTTTAGTTCATAGAATTTAAACATTCGAAAATATATATCTTAGCTAGTTGAATTGAGCTGAGATGAATCAAATTTAAAATGAATATTGAGATTCCAATGAATACTTTTCTACCTTGTATGCCCATGGGGACTCAAAGACAAGGTCGTGTTTGGTGCGAGCTACTCGGTTTTATTAATTTTATCAAAATTAAGACAGCTAAAATGAGCAGACAAGAAACAACTAAACATAAACCTTATAAAATGCAGAGAATCCACGAACATGGAAAACATATGAAAGTTGTGTCCTGAAGAAGAATAGAAGACAGCGTACCAGACAAGACGAAGACGAACATCTCGGTGACAAGAGAGTCCACATTTTGCACAGGTAATGGTCTGTTGATGCTAATAAACATAAGGCAATATTCTCCAAGGGACGAGTTTGGTGTACTCCGCCCAAATGTCTTTATATTTCTCGGCACAACGAGCTTCGTCTCGTCTCTCTCTCCATATTAGCAGAATGAGAAGATACATGGGATAAAAGTATGGAATTGGGGAGCTGCAAAAATGAAGGGAGATATCTGTTCATGGGTTTGGTGTTAGTTTTCTTTGGCTACAAAGACAGAGGACCAAAAAAATACCTAATCCCACAAGGTAAGCTGAAAGAAAGTGCAAGCAACAAGTCTCCAAGGTAATTACAGTGCCGAGCAATTCCCCTATTCAATAACAAGTATTAGAAAATCTCCATATCCTAGGAAACAATGTCCAAACAATACCCCATAAATTTGCCAAGTTTAAAGATCTCAATGAGGCTCGGGTTTGAATATCGAAAAACTATGGAGTCTCGGTAACAATCCCGTTTCTCGTTTTCTATGGTAACGAGTAAACTGAATAGATGAAAATCTTACCAATAACCAGAAGCAAGCAACTTTCCTCCAACAACTTTCGGAGGCTTACCCCATATAAGCGCTTTGCTGCTCTTTTTAAACATGTGTTTTTGCTTGTTAGATCCTCTAAACACAAGATATCTGTCCAAATTTGTACACAAAAAGCTCACATTTACCAAACCTTTGAGACGAGAAGAGAAAGTGTCAATTTTAAGTCACGTTGTGGTAGCTACCCAATTAAGAAAACTAAGCAGTTAGCTATGGTAGCAGCCGTTGTTAACTCTGCCCTGTTTGTCATAAGCCACCAACCCTATAACAAAAGCAAACACAGACAATCTTTTACAGAAGCCATGTCTTTCAAAGTTTAAGTACTTGGATTTTGCAGGCATGCATTCACAAAACTAAACCACTATGCCTACAATATGCACATAGTTTAGCATGCATATAGAAAAATAAAAACAAATTATGAAAAGAACCACAGCCTACATTTCAAAGTTTATGGTCATCAAATGTGCAAGACAATCTGAAATCATATGCGCGAGTCTCAATTTGAAATTGGAGAATTGAGCATCCATTTTAACACAAAATGAAGTCAAAAGAAGAAAAGGAAATGATAGAAAACGAAAACTACTTCATTATTTACCTGAATGCTAAACGTGAAAGGAATCCAAACAAGATCCCCAAATACCAGCATGAAGCCTAATCTCTCAGCAATTATGTCCCATCTACAAAAGATAAATCATTCACTAATATTCAGTCTGACTGCACAAAATCGCAAGTATAATGAAGTGAGTGTTCCGTGCTTAAAATGTGTAATGAGCACGATTCATGTGCAGACGACAATTAAGAATTCATGACATTACAGAAGCTAGTCTTTCGGACCAACATGTTTTTGGTATAATGTATTTCGCTTTTTGATAAGTGTGTTGGTAAAGAGAAGAACCAGATTCACTACTGTGTCTCCAAGTAAGCAATTAGGCTACATATGGTTTGAGAAGCTGGCTTATATGGATAAAGATTCAGAGTTTTAAACATGAGCGAGATTCAATAAGGAACAATAGCCAAGGGTGGCAGCATATATGCTTTAGCTCTTAGACCACTAAAACATGTTTTTGGATGCCATTCACTTCTTTGTTTCCCTAGTTCCAAGGAATTGATAAGGCGTCCATTACTTGCCATTGGCAGACTTCTTTACGTAGAACTTTGGCTCAATCATGAGCCAACAATATGTGACAATCAGGCATGAAACTTCCCCAATTTAAGCAAAAATATGTTTCAAACAATAGGAAAGAATGAACTGAAAATGAACTTACGTGGAGGTCATGTACTCCTCGTGAATAAAGTAGTCGATGACATATATCTGAATCAACATTTTAGACCAAACATCCAATTATTAGGCGCCACCAAAAGATACGAAAAAAATGAAGGAATGCTTCGGAGTTTGGGGTATTAGTTTACCGCACAAAATGTCTGGTAGAGGATCATCGATTGGCTCAAGGTGGCGTTCAGAACACTTCTTGCAAGAACTGACAGATTAATAAGTAGCCAGCCCATCATTCCAGCTCTCACAAAGAAAAATCTACAGGAGGAGTTTCAGCATTCTGGTCAACATATATAATAATACCACCAGAAGTGAAGCAAGTAACATATATTAATAGAAACGATAAGAAATTACACAAAAAGGACCATCTATTAGGATATATAATAAGAGAATTGAAAATCAATAAACGTGGTCATCATCCAGTGGTGATTAAAATAATAACATTGTTCCTGAAATGGCACATGATAAAGTTCATAATAAGTAACATACTTGAGGTCAATGCCCAAAAAGTGAGGATTCAACTGGATACCAAACCACCTGTTAAACAACATGAAGACTGATATTTAAACAAGTGGTCAAATCAGACTTCAAGAGTTAAAGCAAACATTTGTTTACCAATCTTTCATCTGTAATGATAAATGACACTGTTAACGAGTAAAAAAGTTGTAACATTCATATGCAAGGAATTGATTTCTTAATATTATGCACCCAATCTTTCAGTTTCCTCCTCCAGGAAACAAACATTATGCACCTAATTTCTTAACTCGATTTAAGGATCTCAGCCAACCAAACACGCCACAAAATGAGAACTTGACATTATACATATACAGAAAAAAGTAACCAAAATTGAGTTTGTACCAATCATGAATAAAATTTCCCGTGGCACGAGGCTTTAGAGAAGAACTTTGACTACTTGAACTGTAGCCAGCAATACAGAGCAAAAATGTTGCCTGAAAGTGAGACATTAAGGAGAAGGTTAAAACAACGGAGTTAGAAGTAGACAAGTGATTGATAATAGAAGGCCAGAAGATTCAGAGACCAAACTTGATGAACAAGGAAAAAGACATGTCGTTATTATGCATAACCTCTTATACGAGAATCAAGTTAATGGTATTGTGTTTTAGTGATTGAAATCAAATAATCGTCAAATTCTTGTGTGATGGTTCGGGATTTGGGGCCATACAAACAAGCTTATTGATGGACATTGTTAGAAATCTTCCCAATAACACACTTCAAGAGTTACAAGTCAAAAAAAATGGTTAGTTTAAGTTACGCTTCTAATGGGGGCTCTCGGAATCTCCCTCGGTTTGTACCACTCTGTTATCAATAAGAATCAGTCTCTACCACCACCATTCAAAAATCTCAACAGGAAAAATCTAAGCAAGAAAAGTCAACAGGGATATAGATACCAGGACACTAAACCAACAGTCCATTGCAGAAAAATCTAAGCAAGAAAAATCTAAGCAACAGTCCATTGCAGAAAAGTGTAAGTAATGTTAATAATATGCCAAAGGGACAAAGGTCAGCTCTATAGCAAATAGTTCAGATGTTCAACTTGAAGTTCCACATACCAGGACACTAAACCAGAAGGTTGCTGATAGCAGCTCCAGTCCTCTATCTGATATAGCCTACATATGCGTTGTATTATAAGCTTCTAATAAGAACAGTAACCAACAGCAATGAAGAAAAATGAATACAAAATTCCATGAAAGAATGATCAAATCTGTAATGAGAAACAGTGAACGCTTACAGTGGGCGAAATGTAATTCATTTTAACACCAATCCCAAGAAGCGCGACAAGCAGCAGTAGAGAGAGTAGACCTACAGCAGCAGAACAAATCCAGAGAGGAAGAGAGATCCAGATTTTAATATTCATTTGCAAAGAATTTATAATCTCAGTGGAACAAAACTTGATAAACTGAATTTATGAGAAAACAATACCATTGCAGCGATAATGAAGCCTAGTACGATCTGACAAAATCACTCCAGGGATAATTCTTCCAGGTAGAACAGACCCAGCAATCGCCAGGTAAAAAAAGAAGATGAAGAGGATAGCAACCTGATTGCGCAACGACAAACAGCAGGAGAATCTCAAACACATTGAAGTGTAAATCGTACTTAATAACGAATACTGATTCACAGCAATAGAATCAACACTTACAGCTTCCCATGAGGGAATTGGAACTTGAAGAAGAGAATCCAGATCCATATTCTTCAAGAAATCGATTCTTAGTAGCTTGCTGGGATTTTCTCTTCCCTCTGTAACAACAATAATAACTTGCAGCAAAAAGGTCGTCTAATTTCAACTCCGGCAACCTTTAGCTCGAGACCCGAGTCTGTTGATTCCTACTCCTAAATCCACGGGCGGCGGTTGAACTGCTAGCTTGTGAATCTCTTCCCCAGGCGGGAACGTTCTTGCTTGGCTGCCTTTTCCCAAATTCCTTTTCTTTTTGTTTATTTGATTAATGATTTTACCTTTTTTAACTCTTTAAAATCGATTTTCTAAGAAAAGTTTTCACGTTATAAATAGTTATAAATAGTGTTTTGTTCTCCTCGCGGACCCATATCTAACATTAAGATCATAATTAAATAAGTTCAATTAATTAATAGCAAGTTGATCAAATTAATTAAAACTATTTACACCTCTCATTTATTTTCATTCACAAAAAATAATATTAGTTTTATATTAATTAAAATTATAAAGTTTTTCATTTTTAAAATAAAAGTAAAACATACATTCAAATTAATATTGTAAATGCTTTCATAAAATTGACGAATGACTTTAAAATAAATAAAATAAAAAAACCACATGCAAATCTAGAAATGCATTAAATAGCCAAAGCGACTCGAAACTCATCCCTTCTCCTCTCAATCTCAGTCGCAAGCTCTCATCAACAATGGCGGCCTCTTTCTCCATTTCAAGACTCTCCCTCTCAATATCCTCTTCTTCCGCCCTCTCTTCCTTTCCCTTCAAATCCCACCGCTGCATCTCCCCAAAACCCCTCCGATTCTCCTCTTCTGCCACCCCCAAATCCACTATCTCCGCCTCCATTTCCGTCGGCGACAAGATTCCCGACTCCACATTTTCCTACTTTGACCCTGCCGACGAACTCCAAACCACCACCGTCTCCGACCTCACCAAGGGCAAGAAGGCCGTATTCTTCGCCGTTCCCGGCGCTTTCACCCCGACTTGCTCTCAGAAACACCTTCCAGGTTTCGTCGAGAAATCGGCCGAGCTTAAGGCCAAAGGAATCGACACTATCGCCTGTATTTCGGTGAATGACGCTTTTGTGATGAAGGCGTGGAAGGAGAACCTCAATGTTGAGGACGAGGTTCTGTTGTTGTCCGATGGGAATGGGGATTTCACTAGGGCTATTGGTTGCGAGCTTGATTTGAGCGACAAGCCCGTGGGATTGGGCATGAGGTCGAGGCGTTACGCGCTTCTGGCTGAGGATGGAATCGTGAAGGTCTTGAATTTGGAGGAAGGAGGTTCGTTTACCTTCAGTAGTGCTGAGGAAATTCTCAAAGTTCTTTGAATTAGAGATTGTTTTTTTCCTTCTGCTTATTTGCTGCTCCAATTACAGGGTAGCATTTTCAATTTTGGAAAATAAATGAGATCAAATGAGTCTGTTAGAATAAGTTTCTGAGTTCGTTTATCTTCGTGATTCTGGATTTTCATTGGTTTCTGTTCTTTGTGATTTGGGTTTTATGCTTCAATGTTTTATAATGAGAAAGAATGATTAATTTGGGTCACCTATAATCTGTTCGACCAAATGCCTTACATGAGATCAAATGAGTCTGTTAGCCATACCCTTAGAATCCTTGTGAGCTCTATGAATTGTATTTAACTCTATCCTTTTTAGTAAGAGATTGGGCCGAGTTTAAGTTTAATTGAAGGTCAATTAAAAGAACTAGATTACAAAGTATCTACTCTCATCCAAGGTCACGTCCCTCGTTAGAGTAACAGTGACTCTAGTGTCGAATAAAGGCCAAGTTTACTATAGAGCCTCTCTTGGCCTATGGAGCTCTCGAACAACCTTGGCTTAATTGAGGCTCAAATCCTAGAGGAGTATGGTTAGAAGAAAGTCTCACATTGGCTATTTAAGGAAAATGGTCTATGAGCTTTTATAAGTAAGGAATGTATCTCTATTGACATGAGACATTTTGAAGAAACCAACGAGAGCTTACGCTCAAAGTGGACAATATCAAATCACTACTCACTTGTGGAATTGTTCTTTGATTATGTTTTATCGAGGATGTTGATATTTAATCCTTTGATTATGTTTTATCGGAGGAAAGAATTGGACAATTTAGAGATCACTCTTGTCAAACAATTAAGCTAGAAAATTTCAGCCTTTTGTGCATTTATAGACAAAAAAGCTTCGTGGAAGCTAAACACAAGCACTAGAACCTACACCATGGTTGAGCTACTAAAAGCTTGGAACAATGGTCCCAACATACCCAACTCCCACAATGAAAAACGAAATTGATTGGACAAGAATGAAAATGAAGAAGTTGTTCTCCCCGTACAGCATATTGTAGCATCCACAAAAGAATAGATAGGCTCCAATCCCAAGCTCCGTTAAATGAATTCTATCTCCAATTCTGAACCCTAGTGTCCTTGTTGGTTTTGAGGCTGTTTTGGCCTTCAGAATGTCTCCTAACTTCTCTGTCACAACCCATTCGTTTGCTCGACTACCCTCTAATAACCCGATGAGGGTCGCCTTGGCTCTGTGCAATGACATTACGTTTTCGAACATGATCCAGAAAATCGTCAAGTGGAATGACCTGAAACCAACCAACAAAATCTTAGAATTTGTGAATATGGAGGTCCATTGTTCTAGGAAGTTGGAGAAGGAACATACCGTGGAGTCCCGGCCGCATTAATAATGGTGGTCGCTGTAGGAATATACACAGCTCCCCATATTGGAATTGTAACTTCAGGCACCACAACAGTTGCCGGTAAAACAACACAGAAGAGAAGAAAGTTGTTAATGTGGGCTATGATCTTCCTTACGAAGAAGAAGCTATAAATCACATACACCTTCTTCCACAATGTCACTTTCTGCAATGAAAAATTCCCAAATCTTATCAGCCTGATTCAATATAGATTTGATTCGAGTAATGTCGACGTTGGGAATACCTTATTTCTTGCTATCTCCATGACCACCTTTCTGAACAGGTTTGCAGGGCCACATGACCATCTATGCTGCTGAAAACGGAAGGCCTTGAATGTGCTTGGCAGTTCATTTTTAACCTAGTGGTATGAAATCGCTCCATCAGATGTGGGAATAGAACAGACATCAAAGTTCGAATTTGAACGTTACCTGAAGGTCGCCGAGGTACAAGAATTTCCAGCCCTTGAGACTAGCTCGCACGGCCAAATCCATGTCCTCCACAGTCGTTCTATCCTTCCACCCTCCTGCCTCTTCAATTGCAGCAATTCTCCAAACTCCGGCCGTGCCTAGTGTAGAACAAATATCAAGCAATGAGAAACATTGAGTCATGCGGATGGGAGAAAGAGGAGTTTGAACGAACCATTGAAGCCGAAGAAGGCGTGCGTGGAGGAGCCGACTTCTTGCTCGACCGTGAAATGGTAGTCCAACGACATCTCTTGAAGTCTTGTCATCATACACTCATTGGAGTTCACTGCAAGAACATAGCGGCAAATGCAGGGGCGTCAAGCCAGTGCGTTATGAACATGTTATTGAATAAGGGAAGGATGAGTTACCAAATATCCATCGAGCTTGAATGAGGGCAAGTTCAGGGTTATGGACAAGAAAAGGAATAGATCGATGAAGAAAATCAGGTTCGGGTTGAAAATCTGCATCAAATATCACAACATATTCACATTTCCTTGCATAGCTTCGCTTCATCCCTTCTTTCAAAGCCCCTGCTTTGTACCCGCTACGATTGTCTCGTACTTCGTACTTTATGTTTATCCCTTTGTTTGCCCATTTTTGGCATTCTAGCTCCACTAGACTCTGTTCATCAATTCAATCATTGTCTTTCGTTCATTATAAAAAACAGAGTACGAAAAAAATACAACTTTTTTTGTTTGTTGCTTTGTACCTTGATTGATGGGATTGTTGAATCGTCCAGTACTTGTATTGCGATTCGATCAGATGGCCATGAAAGCCCACAAACAGCTCTGATTGACATTTGATAAACCTAAGATGAAACGAAGATTGCCCATGTCAGACTTCATTTCCAATGGAAAATGAGAGATCAGAAAAACAGAGGAGGAAAAACAGAGCACCTCTTTTTCGTTAAACATGGGGATTTGAACAAGAACCATAGGGAAAACAGAGCTTCCGATCTCGGTGTCCTCTTTTATGGCTTCCCATTTGTACCTTTTCCCCGGCGTGCGACGGAGCAATTTCACTCCAATAATCACGACGCCCATATAAATCCTCTCAACGAACAGCATTATCGATAATCCAGAACAGAGCACCATTAAAACTCTAAGCAGAGGAGCTATAATTGGAGCTCTGACGGTGTCCCAAATAAAAAGGAGCTGAGCCGGAATGCCATCTCCGACCGACTGGAATGCTCCAGGGAAAAACGCCGCCGTGGAGAGCTGCTCCATTTCCGGGTTTATGTTTGGAAATAGGAGCAGAATTTGGTGGTGAAAAGGGGTGGTGGTTCTACTTCCGCGATCAACTGGATTGCAGAAGCAGAAGCAGAAGCAGAACAGATATGGATGAACAAGATTTGAATGATGAGAGCGGAGGAAGAACAGCAATTTAAAGGAAAAAAATTGGAGAGAGAGAGAGAGAGACAGATTTGTTCTATAATCTCTCTCGTAACAACAAGTGGTTTGTGACCGTGAGACCATTTCAATTGGTAATTAATAGGATGTTAGGGTTCTAACCCCTCAAAATTGGGAGGGGAAGCAAATTCTAACGTAACCCACACAATTAAACATGCCCACTTTAGCTTAAATTATAATAATCGGATTAAATTAAACTTTGGTTTATAATAATTTTCTATATTTGTGTATATAATATAACAAGATCCTATAGTTTATAAATATCTAATAAAATGTCAATTAATTTAATAACGCGTTAAGAATAAAATTTATATACATAAAGAAAGTAAAACAGAATTCTTTATTTTTTTGACATAAAAAGACACAAACTCATACGTAATTACAGAAATAACCCAACACTTTTCCCTCAATTTCATTGCAGTTGAAGCCGAGGATCCACCTCCACTCTCGCAACCCCCTCCGTGACCGCCGCCGCCTTCGCGACCTCCACTTCTCCGACCACCAATCCGGCGACCTCCTCCTCCTCCTTCACTTCATCCACATAGTTCGGATCGTTCTCATCAATGGCAGCCGGGGCGGGGGAGAGCTCGTTCTCAATCGCATCGCTGGGTCCTTCCCAAGTGAACTTGCCGCCGTGGCCGGACTTGGGCGGCGGCTGGGCGATTCCAGTCCGGGTATGAACCGGATGGCGGTCGAGGCGCTGGACTCCCTTGTCAATGAGCTTCTTCTCAACGTACTTGATGGTGTCGATGTTGCGAGAAACAATCTCGGCCTTTTCGACTCGCTTTTTCCCTTCCTCGTCGCGGCTGACGGCTCGAATCGTCACTTTCTCCTTCTTGTCGTCGATTGGCTTCATGATTTCTGTAATTGTTGGGGAAATTTAGAATCGGGATTTAGGGTTTTATACAGAGAGACGAAGGAGAAACTGGAAGGTCCCGGAAAGGTGTGGACAACGCCGGGTGGGTGCTAGAACTCTCTGACACGTCTTACAACGCTTTCTTACGCATGCATAATTAATTTCTAATTTCTTTTTTTTATATATTATATAATACAATATTGAGAGATTCGATGATGATATACTAATGCCCTTAATTTTCTTTCAGGACATTTATTTGCAGAATTCATTTGAAACCCATTGCCGGAGAAGATGGCAAATGAACGGAAAACCACGAGAAGTTCAACTTTCCGGTGGGTTTCCAGGGAAGTTGTACTGCCGGAGCCAGACATGGCGGGGAGTGGTTTCTTATCATTCGAAATTACACCTCTAATGTCAAATTGTCAAATTGGGTAATTAGAAGATGAGGGTGGTTATTAGACTACGACTATGTATGATATTGTCCACTTTGACTGAGCATAAATTCTCATGACTTTGCTTTGGGCTTCCCTCATTCGAATGGAGTTAGTATTCCTCCCTTATATTTACTCCTTTTTTTTCTTTGTGGAGTCCTTTATAGATATTGTCCTATAAATTCTCATGGCTTTGCTTTGTGCTTTTCAAAAAGCCTCATTCTAATAGAATAATAAGTATTTCTCACTTATAAATCCATAGTCATTCCCTAAATTAGTCTTTGACTGCTAATCTTGATCCAAATAATCTTGATGGGGGACAAATGTTCGGACCCTGTTCTTCACCAATTCGATTGGGGCAGATGCCATTACAGATGAAAAAAAATGGACAGAAGAGTGAAGAAAATGCAGAAGTTTATTGTGCTCACGGCGGAGATGTCGAGGGAAATGGAGGTTCTGGCGGCGGTGGAAAATCGTTCAATTACCGGAAGAAGAAATTTCGTGTCACCGCCGTCGTGTTCAGAGCTTGAAATTGTTGACCCCTTCGAACAGAACATTCGATTACATTCTTAATTATACTGTTACAGAACGACTCAAATTACATTCTTAATTCGATTACATTCTTAATTACATTCTTAATTCGATTACATTCGATTACACCCCCTCCATGACCTCCGCCGCCTTGGCCACCTCCACTTCACCGACCACCAATCCGGCGACCTCCTCCTCCTTCTCCTCCACTTCATCGACATAGTTCGGATCGTTCTCATCAATGGCAGCCGGGGCGGGGGAGAGCTCGTTCTGAATGGAATCGCGGGGTCCTTCCCAAGTGAACTTGCCGCCATGGCCGGACTTGGGCGGCGGCTGAACCGGCTGGCGTTCAAGACGCTGGAATCCCTTGTCAATGAGCTTCCTCTCAACGTACCTAATGGTGTCGATGTTGCGAGAGTCGATCTTCGCCTTTTCGATTAGCTTTATCCCTTCCTCGTCGTGGCTGACGTCTCGAATCGTCACCTTCTCCTTCTCGTCGATTGCCTCCATCATTTCAGTTTCTATTCTTCTTCTTCTTCTTGACTTTGGATTTCGGATTCAGGGCTTTATACAGAGACACGAAGCAGAAACTGGAAGCTACCGGAACGTTGTGGACAATGCCCGGTGGGTGCTAGAACTTTCTGACACGTCATATAGATATATATATATTTCATGTCTACATGTATATACGTTATATATATATTATACATATATATTTCATGTGTACATGTATATACGTCGAATATATATATATATATACATGAAATATACGTTATATATATATACATATATATTTCATGTGTACATGTATATACGTCGAATATGCTCCTCAAAAGTCGTCTTAGCAAACAACGGGGAATCAAAAACATTGAAACAACACATAATGATTTGTTCGTCCGTTCATTTTGAGGTAAATTTATATTATTATGTCTCCCTTTCCCTGTTTATATTTATACCTCTTTCATTTTCCCTAACGTTCATTCACTCTTCTTCTTCTGCCGTTAATTTCCTCTCGGGACAGTTATTTGCAGAATTCGTTTGAAACCCATTGCCGGAAAAGATGGCAAGTGAACGGAGAATCACGAGAAGTTCAACTTTCCGGTGGGTTTCCCGGAAATTTGTACTGCCGGAGCCGGACATGGCGGGGATTGGTTTCTTATCATTTGAAATCGCGCCTCTTATGTCGAAGCTTGTTCAGCTATGGAATCGATTAGAAGACGAGGAATTCATGAGAGTGAAACAACAGATTTCGAACTCAAAAGGAATCGAAATACTGATTTCGAATGACGAACAATTTCTAATGGAGCTTTTGAGGGTAGAAATCGTCGGAGATCTTCAATACATCGCGAAATCAATCGCGAGATTTGGGGACAAATGTTCGGACCCTGTTCTTCACAAATTTGAAAAATTCGTTGAAGATCCAATGAAGAACGAATTTGATTGGGGTAGATGGCAATATAGATGGGAAAAAATGGAGAGAAGAGTGAAGAAAATGCAGAAATTTATTGTGTTCACGGCCGAGCTGTCGAGGGAAATGGAGGTTCTGGCGGCGGTTGAACGAAATTTGGGGAGGAACACAACGAATTTTTCCTTTGCCGGCGGCGGTGGAAAATCGTTCAATTACCGGAAGGAAATTTCATGGCACCGCCGTCGTGTTCAGAGCTTGAAATTGTTGACCCCTTGGAACAGAACATTCGATTACATTCTTAGACTTTTCATGAGATCGATTATTACCATTACACAACGAATCAAAATTGTGTTTGGGGTTAACGAAATGTGGCTGCCGGAGGACAGCGGAAAGAAAATCACCGGCCGCCGTATCCCGGCGGATAATTGCAGGAGGTCGAAAGTAGAAGAACAGGGGAAAAAACAGAGTTATAATCGGAGTCCGCCATTGATGAAGAATTCTGCAGAGAGCAAAAGGTTTTCTCAATTTCCCCATTTCCGGTCATTTCGAGACTGCAAGTACGGAGCAACTGTTTCTCCACCGCCGTCGCAACAGGTTCGCAAAACGTCGTCGTTGAAGCTGAAAAACACAGCAGTTGAAAACAGAGTATCATCATCACTGAGACGAATCAACGGCGGACATTATTCAATCTCATCATTCTTTATTAAAGAAAATTTACCAAGCTCACCTCCAAATTCCCTCGGCGCCGCCGCCTTATCAATTCATTACGGAAAAATAGTGACTTTGATCGAGCAAATGGCGTCCGCGCCTCGCCTAATCGGTAGCAAGGAACGGGACAAGCTGTACAACATGTTGCCGTTGAGTATAAGGAAAGCTCTGAGATCCCGACTGAGAAAGGCAGCAAAAATTCGGCACTCGTCTCTGTACGATCCAGTTCTGGCGGCAGAGTGGAAATCAGCGACGGCGAAAATATTGCAGTGGTTAACTTCAATGGCTCATGACATGGAGACATGGCATTCAGAGCACAGTGTTGAGAAGAAGCCCAACGGCGGCGACATGGGTGGTTCAAAGCCGTGTGTTTTGCTGCTGCAAACTCTCCATTATGCAGACAGGGAGAAGACGGAGGGCGCCATTGTTGAGGTGCTCGTAGCTTTGAGCAATATTTGCAGTTCAAATGAAGTTCATGAGCAGAGATTGTTAAAGGGATTTGGCGTTGAAGCTGATGAGAGTTATTTGTGTAGAAATTATGGGTTTTCCTGTTTTGATGTTCTTGCTCTGTAATTTGCATTCATGAAGCTCAGAGGATGAGAAATTTATCGATTTAGAAACTAAATTGTGGTGAAATTTATTTTTATGAAAACAATATTTTATTTTTACTGATTTTTACACGAAACGACGTTTATGAGGAATCGGAATGGCCTTCAAAGGAACTTTCTTTTTCAGAGTAATTCCCATTTGCTCCGACATGTCCATCTCCTCCGGCAAGAGTCCGTCCGGCAGAGCCCAATCAAACCGCAGAATCAACGACCCCAGAGCCATTGGAAGAACCCTTGATGCCAACGGCACCGCCGGGCACATGCGGCGGCCAGAGCCAAACGGAAGGAAGTCAAAGTGTTGACCTTTAAAATCCTTGCTGCCGGTGGGCTCCAAGAATCTCTCCGGCGAGAAAACCAAGGCGTCTTTCCAGTTTTTGGGGTCACGGCCAATGGCCCAAACGTTGACCAAGACTTGGGTTTCGGCCGGAATCCAGTAGCCGAGGATTTTGCAGGGCTTCATTGCCATTCTCGGGAAAAGAAACGGCAGCGGTGGGTGGAGGCGGAGGGTTTCTTTGACGACGGCATCAAGATATGGGAGGTTTTGCAGATGGGTTTCTTCAAGTTTGCCGTCTGGCAGTATGGTGGATCGTAGCTCCGCCTGAAGTTTTTGCATCGCTGCCGGGTTGCGGAGGAGCTCCGCCATTGCCCATTCTAGTGAACTAGTGGTGGTGTCCGTCCCCGCCGTGAACATCTCCTGAAAAAAGAAAAAAGAAAAAACCAACCCAATAGGAATTCCCTAATTTGTTCTATAAAAATAAAAGGAGAAGCTTTAAAAGATTAAAAAAAAAAAAATTAAAACTCTAACTGCCCATATCCACTCTAGCACATAGTGTTGTTTTTCGACTTTCTCTACTTCCCCTTAAAACTTTAAGAGACAAACTATTATTTATAAGGATGTGGAAAAGTTACGACAGGTTTTAAAGCCTTCAGAAAAAGTCCGAAAAAGAAAGCCAAATAGAACAATATGTACTCAACACTAGATCTGAGCCGTTACAAAAACATATGAAAATAAAAATACTAAAAATATAATGAAAATAAAAGTAAAAAACTAAAAGAAGAATAATATGAAATTATTACAATAATATTCCAAAATACTAAAATACAAACGTATTATTTATAAAATAGTGTGGAGCCCCAAACATTATAAAACATTAGGAACAGACAAACCCTAAATCCGATTCATACAATCTGATATGTGACAACAATATAATAAATTAATCATTTAAATTATTCATATATATATATATATATATATGATCTCTTAATCATATCACGTGAGATGCACCATTTCTTAACCATTTGATCTTAAACATTTATAGGCTTAATTTTGAAAATAAAAATGAAAAAGAAGATCAATAATAATAATAATGAAAAATAAAGCTTACTAAGACGATAACGTTGATGATCCAAGAAGAGAAACGGGAGGGCTCCACAACGCCATCGCCACGGAACTCCAAAAGCACATCCAAATAATCCTTTTTTCTTTCTTCTTTTTTTTCTTTCTCCGTCGATCTTTCTTTTATGAACTCGCCGGCGATTTCAAACGCCTCCTTCACATGAAACTGCGTCGTTCTCCTAATCCCCTGCGGGTCGACCCACCGGAACACCCGTAGAAAGTCCGCCACATTCGGCGTTCCGGCAATCTCCATCACCCTTCTCGTGTGGTAATAGAATTCCTTCCCCCTTTTGGAATTTGGCCCCACTAGATCTTTCGAAAATATTAGGTTCCCGATTAAATTAAAGCTCATTATAAAGAAGAATTTCCCCACGTCCATCGGCGGCGCGTACCAATACGCGCTTCCCTTTATTTCATCCTCCACATATTGGATCATGGCATCGACGCAACGTCGGCGGACGTGTTGCATGGCGTCGAGCCGACGAGTGACGAAGAATTCGCTCGTTGCTAACCGCCTCAGCATCCGCCAGTGGGATCCGTATTGGGAGGTGATTAGGGAACCTTCTGTGCCGTGGTCCCCCTTCATTGCCTCGTAAATCATGCGCCCTGACAGCGACGCGTCGTGGTTTTTGAACATCTCTCGCGCTATCGTGCTCGATGAGACGACTACTGTTTTCATGGACCCGAGTTGGAGGGTCATGATTGGGCCGTACTTAGCGGCGAGTTTTGTGAAGGATTCGTGAGCGGAAAAACTGAGTTGGAGCAAGTTTCCAACCACTGGCCAACGCGGTGGCCCTGGTGGTAGCTGCTCACCCAGCGCTGCCGCTCCACGGCGGCGCCACACCCATAAACCCCACAGAAAGGACACTAAAATAAGCGCTGCAATTTCTATCTCCATGCGAGTTGTGTCTGTGGCTTTTGGTTCTCGTGATTTATAGCCACGGGAAGAAGTGTTCCCTCTGCCCCGTCAACACCCGTGGTCGGTAAATGGTGGCGCTATTTCTATTTGGACATTTAAAAATAAAATCAATATATCCACTGAGTTTCTAAAAATTTAAAATTTAAAATTTAGTTGGATTAATTTTTTTAAAAAAATTATATAGTTATAAATAGATTCTTGGTAAATACTTATTATACATTTACATTATTCGATAGTAACTCAATCGATTGATGAATACTCTATATAATGATATGATATTGTCCACTTTAAATATAAGGTCTCATGATTTTGCTTTGGCGTCTCCGTCTCATACCAATGAGTATAATTAATTTATATATTTATTTGAAATTTCATGTCTACATTATTCAAATATGTTAATAAACTGTGAAATATTTAATCCAAAAATTCTTTTTTATTCCTTTTTCTTTTTGGTCTTTTAAAACAAAATTTTTATGGAGTCTAATTTGGTCAACAAAAACTATGAGATTATAAATATTGAAATTATGAACAGTGATTTTTACCAAATTGGTTTAAAAAATTTAGGGGACCATTTATAACTTTTTTTCTGAAAAAAAAAACATATATAATGTCAATAATTGTACCCCGATTGATTAATTTTGTTTAAAAAATGTATATTATATTAGTATGTCAATTTTATTAGTGTGGGGATATTAATTTTTTATTTTCTACACATTTCCAACGTTTTTTTTTTTTTCAAAGCAAAATAAATAATAAAAATTTAAAAAACATAAAATGCCTCACTGGATTCTTAAATTTTTGGGCCAGTAACTATCAACTTTTACAAAAAATAAATAAATAAATAAATAAATAATTGACTGAGCTAATCCATTAGTAATATGCTTTCCGATTCTTATCCATTCTTAAGACTTAATTTACATCATTTATTTTAACATAATTTAATGATAATTATTAATCTCAATAAAATCAGCTTTTATTAATGTACAAATTATGAATTTTAACCCGCAATTTAACAGCTAAATTTGAAAAACATTTCGATATAAATTTATTATTTAAAATTGGTTTTTTAGCTTCAATTTATTTTGTTACTAATTAAATATATTAACTAAACGCATGTAAGGTAACCTGGATTCGTAATTATAATTAAATTTAGTTTTCTAATCTTAAATTAAAATGGAAATTTAAAGTGAATATGTATAAATTTCAAACAAAAATCATGGAATTTGAAAAAGTGGGGCCACATTTGAAGGTGATGATTTACAAAATCGTGGGCCTGAGAAGTTGGACTGGATCTTCTTGGTCCCCGCTTTGTTGGGCCCAGATGATTTTTTATTATTATCCAATTTAGTGTTTTTTTGTATGAATATATTTTTAATTTAGATTTGTGGTCCATATAAGCTCGTATCCTAAAGATTGGATAAATTTAATTTTTTGCTTCCAGACAAATTAATGATATCATTAACAAATTATTTTTTTATTTTCAATTGTAATAATGTCAATATAACTCCAATTTCAATATGGTCCAGATAGTTGTTCACACAAAATTGTTTACAATATTTATATGGAATTAAAAAAAAAACAAATTATTAGGTACAAAAATATTAGGGATTAAAAAGTTTAAAATTTAATATTAATAAAATATTCAATTTTATTACCTATACCAAAAAAAACTTCATAGTTAAACGTGCTTTAATTAGAATAATTTTACGTTCGGTGAACTCTTAAGATTTTTTTTTAGATGCATGTGAGTGACGACAAAATATGTTGAAAAGACTCGTGATGGCATGCAGTGATAGTTTTTGCTTTTAAGAAACGATGGGTAGGTAATGTAACCCTATCGCTATAAATTTTTCTAAGATGCATGTGAGTGAGGACAAAATATTTAGACTATTATGTACCGAACCTGTATTCAAAATCATATCTTCTTTTGTTTAGATTTTATATCTATAAAATTAATATATAATTAATGTTTTTTAAACCTCATCAAATAAAAGAGCAAATAGGTTTCTTTTTCTGTCACGTAATAAAACTTTTGGACTCTACCATTTAAAATTAAAACAAAAAAATAAATAATTAAAATTAAAATGTTATAATAATATATTTAAAATTAGAAAAATAAGATATGATGTTAAATTTATAAATATTTGAACCTACTTTAGCGATTTGGTATTAAGACGTCACGAAGATGGAGAAATACTTTTAAACATTTATGCAATTTTTATTCTTGTTTTTAATTAATCTAAAGGGCCTATCAATAAATAAATAAATAAATAAAAGGCGAAGAAGATTTATTCAATAATAAAATGCAATGATTTATTTTTAAATTTATCACATAAAGTAACAATGTATTTGCATGATGTTTATTTGTTATTTTTAAATTAAAAAGTGAATTATTATAAATACATTATATTATTTATTATTATTATTATTTTTAATTTTATTTGGTCTATTTATATTTTTGATATATTATCTATTTAGTCATATTTTAAAAATGCGAGTCACCGTAAGATCACACGTATGTATATATATATATATATATATATATTAATTTTTTTTTATTAAGAATAACATATTCTCAAATTTCAAATAAAATTATATAATTGATTAATTTGTAAATGAAACGAATGAATTAATCAAAATATTATAATAT